TTTATTTCTATAGATTTTATTTTAGGCAAGTCGTGATGATTTGAGAAGGCTAAATTGATCAAACATAGGCTATGATCAACTCACTGTCTGCGGCTGGCCGCTTGGTCGTTACTTTAAAAACAAACAAAAAAAACTTACATTTAACGAACAAAAAATGCTCCAAACGTTTTTCTAAATTAACTTTATAAAAAAAATAAACGAAATATAATCACTTTTCCATTATACACAAAACTGAACTATTTTAATAGCCGAAACAGTAGTATAAGCTGTTTTGGGAGAAGGGAGAAAAAAGATGGGCTCGGGCCGAGAATTCTGATGAGCTGTCGGACAAGGCCGGGCTATAGGGCCTATATTTGAGGCCCGTGCAGGGCTCTAGTCCACTTCATCCAACGCTGTTTTGTTCTCTGTTGTTTTTATCTGTGAGCATGCTCTTGATAGATGTATTTTACCATTTTGTTGAGTTTAAAACATGACACATTCGTTCAGCTCTCACTGATCATTTGGTCCTCCCAAAAAAATAAAAAAAACTGTGCGTACCCTGCAATCCTGCAGGCCTCGCTTGCTGTATTTAAATAAGTAATTAAAGAAAATCGTTGTAGGCTATTCGGCTAAGTCGTTCTGAGTGATAAATTAAAAAAGATCCCACCTGTATATCATGAATATACAAAATAACATGTAATTTACTTGAGGTTCTGCTGAATTCTCCTGAATTACTGTTTTTAAAGGTAATTTAGTCATTTTGATCACGGCTGCTGAAACATCAGTGTTTATATCTGGACCATGAACTGTTACCCCAATACTTACTTTATTATTACATGTTTTCAACAAAGAAATACTAATCTTTTAATGATTAATCGTGCATATGTAGATCTATTTTTGTGTCAATTTTTTACTAGACCTCAAGTAACCCATAAAGTAAACCAGCCCCCGCTTCCGCGATCCATGCCATTTTATTGCCTTTTTAGGAGGACAGATTGGTCTTTCAATGTTCCTCACTTAAGTTTTTTAAAAACATGCATAAAAATAAATACATAATATCAAACAAATAACAAATAACTAATAAAAGTGGATAAAATATAAGCATGATCTTTTATTTTCAAAGACTAAAGAGAAATATCAATACTTACTGAATCTTAAAATTACTAAATTATTATTATCATTTAGGCCTAATCAGCTAAATCTGTAAATTCTTTGAACAGACTAAATTTTGTATTTAAGGTTCGTTGATTTTCATGTCTTCCACATACAAACAATGAGCCAGAACAAAATTATTGATCATTTGCATACAATCATATGTAACACGTTCCTATGGGACCGGTGGAAGTGCAAGTAACCGATCGTGTTCCCAACGTGTTGTTTACGTGTGAAGACACGTTGTAACACGTTTGTGATATTCCTGACATAAATGTTCTCAATATGACAGTATGTCAATTTTTGAAAATTGTAACCTTTTTTAGAAAAGTAAATTATATATTTATTATATATTGTTATATGTAACACTGTGAACATTGTATAATACTATAAACAATAAAAACGTACAGTATGTCTGCTCTTTGAAAGTAAAACACATACTCAAGCACAGGATTCAGAAAAAAAATATTTAGTGTTGTTTTAGGTGAACTATCTATATGTATTGCCTATAAAGTCAATTTATAGCCTTTACACAGCAGCATGTCTCTTTACATGTTTAAAAACCAGCTAATTTTAAGAAGGTCACCCGCAGTGTAAGACGCTCAAAGCTCAAGACGTTCGGTTTGACGTTCGATCGGTCGGTCGGTCGTTCGAACGTTTGATTTTGGCACGGAGTGCGCGCCATATCTGCATCTCTTTCAGCAAAATAATAAATATACAAAACATCTCGTCTGGTCGTCACGTGGGATGCTCAAAGCTCAAGACATTCGGTTTGATGTTCGATCGGTCGGTCGGTCATTCGAACATTTGATTTTGGTACGAAGTGCGCGCCATAGCGAATGTCCGTTCCTTCCTATAATGCCGAGTTCACACTGCACGATTTTAGCCCGGTTTTTCACTCGCCGACAGGTTTTGCAAAATCGCCGACAAATGCTCGACATCGGAGGCAAATCGGTGCTCGTTCGCGCGAGTGACAATCATGCAGTGTGAATTATCAAAGACGCGATCTGAGGGAATTGCCGATGCGTCGCCGACGCCTGTGAAATATTTGGCATGCTTCACAATCACATGCCACAATCACACAGTGTGCAATGATTTCTGACTGAAAAACACATCCTCCCTCCCCCACCATTCAACCTGTGCTTAAGGTCTGTGTAGAGGATGTGAACTAGGTCTTCAGGAAGCAGAAATCTAGAAAAGCTGTTTAATGGGACTGAATTTGTATTTAACATGATTACAATTTAATTCAAACATTAGAAATGGATAATTAGGCTATGTAACGTTTCCACGGTTATTCAAACAGAGAATAATTTTTTTTATATAGGCTAGAAAATAACATTATCGCTAACTTTGATCTATCGCGAGTTTAAGCACTCAAAAAAGCTATTGTTATAATCACTGAAGCTGTATACATTGTTAAATTAATCTCTTACTCGCATTGTACGTGCATCTGCGCTTTGTTGTTTATGATGAGAGAATTTGCGCGCACTCAAAACTGATGAGTTTTGAGTTTTGCCTCTGATTGGCCTTTGCATTCCTAAGCTCAACAGAATTGTGTGTGATTGGTTAAAATGTGCAAAACTTTAAAAACGCCTAAAATGAAATACGGCGCAACATGAGCAGATCTTAATTTGATGCCACAATCGACACGGTCTGTTCATTTTCACTTTGTTGGCAACAGACATGATAGATTTAATTTGTTTGTGCAGGGTCATTTTTGTCCAATTTAGTTGCATTTTTGCCCCAAGTCCCCAGCCTTACACACGCTCCGCCTATGCATGGTGGTCAAAGGAATAGAAAGGGACAAGCACCCGTTTGAGAGGTGGCCATGGGCCTCGTTTGAGAGGTGTGGGTGATCGTGGTAGAGGACACAGACCTAGACAGCGGCAGCAACAGCAAAGGGTGTCAAGTGAAATCACCACTATAGTTGTAGACTATGTCATAAATCATGGCATGACAATGAGTGCAGCAGCTACAATGTTTCAACCAAATCTCAGAAGATCATCTGTGGCCTCAATCATCAGAACTTTCCGCAATGAAAACCGGTAAGTCTTCAGAATCCACTAAAGTTTAAGCTACTTGAAACTGTTACAGTAAATAAGTGTATATAGCATGGCAGTGTGTACCACAGAATGTAATGTGATTTCTGTAAATGAGTTCTTACTGTGACTTTCTCCCTGCAGAATGAAGACTAGGCCAAATAAGGGGAGGCAGAAGCAATATTCTGACTGACCAACAAGAGCAGGCTGTGGTCAATTTGGTTCGGTCCGGAAATGATATTCGCCTTACAGAAATTCGGCAACACATGTTGGACAGTGACGACGTTTTCAGCAATGTGGAAGCCATAAGTTTGCCGACTATTGCATGGGTGCTGAAAAGACGTCAGGTGTCTTTAAAACAACTATACCATGTGCCTTTTGAAAGAAATACAGATAGAGTGAAGCAACTGAGGACTGAGTATGTTCAGGTATGATCAATTTGCCTGTTTTTGGGGGAGAAAAAAATCCCCAAACATTCTTTATCATTGTAATCAGTAATTGTCTGTGTTTTTAGAGGGTGATGGAGCTGGATGCGGAGGAAAACCATCACAAATTCATATTTTTGGATGAGGCAGGCTTTAACCTGGCCAAGACAAGGAGGAGAGGTCGGAATTTAATTGGCCGGCGGGCAACCGTCCAAGTACCTGGACAACGTGGAGCCAATATCACCATGTGTGCAGCTCAGAAGATGGCGTGGTTGGACGCAGACCTCGTGTTGGGTCATATAATGCAGCTCACCTCATAGCCTTCCTTGAGGAGCTAAATCAGGTCTGTAGAGCTGATGGTGTGACCTACGTAATAGTTTGGGATAATGTTCAGTTTCAACATCCTCAAATGGTCCAAGCATGGTTTCAGGCCCATCCACAATATCTCACCCTGTATTTACCTCCATACTCCCCTTTCTTTAACCCCATTGAGGAGTTTTTCTCCACATGGAGGTGGAAGGTCTATGATAGGCACCCTCACGAACAAGTCACTCTTCTCCAGGCCATGGATGATGCAATTACATCACAGCACATCAGTGTCAGGCCTGGATTCGCCATGCCAGAAGATTCTTTCCAAGATGTTTAGCGAATGAAAACATCCATTGTGATGTAGATGAGAACCTGTGGCCAAATCCACAAGACCTGGTTGATGGAAACATGGATGCATAGTGCAGTGGGGAACACTTACGTTAACAGTACAGTTTTTTTTGTTTGTTTTTTTTAATCTAATTTTTTCCTTTGGAAAACCTATGTTGTGATTTCTATTTCCTCGGTAAATTTCACATTACAGTAATTCAATGATACCACTGTGTCTGTACTATTCTCTCTAGTCTACAATACAAGAATGAAACCTGAATCACATATCTTGTACAACTATATTTAATGCTTGTACTAACAAATACACCGTGAAACTATGGGTATCTTGTGTGTGGGTGAGCTAACGTAATGTTCCTATGATATTTCATAAATTAGTTTTTTGAACCAAAATACTTTTTCTTTTTTTTTTTGCTTCTGCAAATGCAAGGCTTTTTTGAAGATATGAACGCAATATGCAAAGTTTTGGGCAGCCTGTGTTACAAATAATGTTTTGAGTCTAGAGTTTTGAGAAATGACATGAAGGTTCTGTTATTAATGCAAAAATGATTGTAAAAAACTGTAATCAGTGAGTATAAAGAATATAAATTATATTCTGCTGGTCCGGTGAAAGGAGCTGCTCCTGTCTGAAGAGAAAACACACTCTCAGAACTATAACACACACATACAGTAACTGACAGTATAATACAGTACATACACACACTGTCAGAGTAACAGAACTGAGTGTATTTAGTCTGTGTGTGTGTTCAGTGAGAATCTCACCTCATCAGAGTCAGTCAGAATAAAACTGTCTGGATCATCAGAAACTAGACATTAGAAGCACAAACGTCTGATTATCCTCATTGTTTTTATATAATAGATACATGGTAAAGCTATTGTTGATTATGTATTGATGAAAGACATGTCACAGTGTTTTATGTTTAATATCATGAATACTCACAGTTTGGTTTTCCGCTATTAATGCTGCTCCGTCTGATTAGTTTCGGGGTGTTTTTCTCTTCTGGTTCAGTAGATTGTCTCTTGCTCTCTTTGTTTGGCATTTTTCTTTTTCTATCTGTTTAATTCTCCTTCGGTTTGTGATGCTCCACAGATCTTCTGCCATGAATGAATTTCTTGGAGATAGAAAATGGAGATAATATAAACATCACAGTGTCCAGAATTAATCATAAAAAATTCTTTACAACGCAAAGATGTGTCATACAACAGTGTCACGTATGAGTCTTAAAGCTCTTATTGAGAAAGCCAAGGAAATCACCTTGTTTATGTTTGTTTGGTTATGAAGTGTTGCTTCTCCTGGATTTACATGAGAAAGTGAAATGATTAATTCTGTCATAACTTCATAACAGTGCTCTGAAGGGAGAATTACAGACAGTAAAGTTGATGGTAAATATGAGGTAAATGTAATTTTACCTTCACAGTGAACAGGGTTATTACAGTAAACTAAAACCACACAACCAAAGCCATTGTTGTTACTTGAAATAAAGTTAACATTTACTGAAATAAAATGAAATATATATTACTTTTTTTTAATTTCATCTAGTTGCCAAGGACACATTTATCATTTTCATTTAGTTTAAGTTGATGTGCTAAAATAAAATAACAGACTACAAACTGAAGTAAAAATTAATACAAAGTATATATAATATATATAGTTATGTATTATATACTGTATATAGTAAAAACTATATATAATACAATTACAAAGACTAGACAAAAATAAACTTTAATGAAAAGCAAAATATACAAAAACAAAAGCCGACAGTAGTATCTAAATGATATATCATAACTATCTATTATTGCTTTCATTATGGCTATAACGTGTATGCGATATGATATTGTACCTCACATTAACCGCTTTTAACATTAAATGAAGCACATAATCAGTTTCATGAGTTCATCATTGTCACATTCTGTATGGTGTTGTTCCAGCTGCGACGCACCTGTTTCTAAAATATAATCTGCTTCGAACAGAAACTCAGATTAACATGAAGACCAGTTAGCACATCATTTATAATTGAAGTGGTTTAATAACAGTATTTCATTACGGTTACACTTGATGAAGGATGATAAAACATATAGCCTAATTAATTATAATTTAGACTTTTTACTGCAGCTTCATGCACTGTAAAAAATGACCGTGAATTTAACGGTAAAAGACTGTAAAAATGCTACAGTAAAAACCTGTTAAATGGTTAACGGTAAATTCCCCTACTATATACGGTGAAAAACTGTACTGGACATTACATGTATTGGACATAAATTTTACGGTAGTATACCATTTTTGGAAGTGAAAAATACTGTATAATTTACAGTGAATAACCGTAAATTGACATTCCCAGAATTCCCTGCGTTACATTTCAAATTTGATGTTTTTTTTGTTGAAATAATTATGTTTCTTCTCAGTTTTTTCTTATCAGTTCAACTTTACAGATCTTCTTTATGCACCAAGAGCTTGTAACACTCCAAAGAGAAAGGAACAGTTGAAATCGCATCATATGACCCCTTTAAAACACCTTATAAAAGTGATTTCTGCATTCTATGGCACCTTTAAGATTTAAGATTTACGATTAAGACCAATGCCAATATCCAGCGACTACCCAATTGTCCCTAGCAATAATTTTGATCAAACAATTAAATATGTTTTTGTAATTTCGGACGCACACCAGACTAGAGGCGCAGCACTGCGTTTACTCACGGGCCTCACATCCAGTTCAAGACAGCAGTCCAACAGTTAACAGAACAGTTCACTTCAGGGATTAACAAAGTTGCGTCGATGAGTTTGAAGCCCGGTGTTTGACAAAACAGAGCAAACGGAAACAGTGGTGGTTTCATAGGGGCCAGCAACCAGTCTGGGGTGACACAGACATCTTCATTATTGCAATATAAAAATGTGATTGACTATAAAGTACTGGACTGTTTAAGTGCCTTCAACACAACTGAATACACTTAATTTAACTGTAATTGAGATATAGCCTATAGTTGTGAATTAGATGAAGTACTGAGTGAATATGACAATGTTTGTATTATTCTTCATCTCCAGGTATTTTAATAATACACGGTAAGAAATGAATCAAGGGTCTTGGTTATAATTAAAATTAGTGTGTATATTTCATTAAATAAATTGTGATTCAGTGTTGTATAGAAAATATGGAGAACTTTTTACTAATAAAACCAAATACTTGAGCTGTCTGGCAGTCTTTTAAATGTACAAAATAACCCAAAGCCAAATACAAACAGGCCTCACTCAAAATCACAGACTTTTGAGAATCGTCTTAAAATAAATGAGCACATTTCACGAACATTTTTTATTCAGGTAGAATACATTTTTACATTATTTATTCAGGTAGATTCCATTAAAAATACAAGCCTTAAAAACTACTTAAAAATATTATGTGTAATATTGTTACCATCATTTTTTTTATAGAGTAAATAGCTCATTCCATTTTTTTTACAGTGTAGCATTTGTTATAATAAGGCTAGCCAATCATTACCAGGTAATTTTTGTTTTATTATTATTATTTATTTATATAGCATTTATTATGAAAAAAACAGCCTGCACATTTAGAAACAATATAGCATGCCACAGTTGTAATATAAATCTATAGGAAAATGTATTCGTTAACAGATTATCTATTATAAATTCTACAACAAGTTGGACCAGATTTACCAAAATAAATGAGCCAATAAAACGTGATGAATTCTAGAAGCCTAAAGGAGGTCATGAAAATGATTTTAATTAATGCTGATGCAAGATGTGCTTTTTTATAGATAATTTCTCCATAGCATTTTAAAGAGGCAATTTCTCAATAGAATTCAAATAGACCGCACATTTTATCATCATGTCTCGCGCAAATCACTTTTGGAGCGTGCCGCTGGTGCACAGTTAAAGAAGTGCTCTTCAGTCGTATTGCGCTGACAGCTGCTCTGTTCATTCATGTGTGAAGATAGAGGGCACGATTTAAATCAATTAAAACAATCTGATTCTAGGTTTCCATTAACCATGGCAGTATATATATTGGGGGGTTGTTCAGTAGCCTAATGAACTATTTTTGGTTAAACTACGTCCTGTAAAAACTCTTAACAAACATTAAAGTGATGTGTTGTAATCACCTTGTGTTGAGCTGAAGAGAAGAAACATCCATCACAACTCTGAGATGTCTGCTGATGTTGTGCTGTCTTTCTCTCTCTCTCTCTCTCTCTCTCTGTGTGTGTGTGTGTGTGTGTGTGTGTGTGTGTGTGTGTGCGTGTGCGTATGACACAGGCACAGGTTCCTCCCATCCTAAGAGTTAATTAGTAGTTAATTAGAGCCACATTATTAAGAAACTGGCAGCATCTGTATCAGGGTGTGTCTCTCTCATTGTGTCTTCCTCCATGACACTTGACTCTGCAGTTCATCCTATACCTAAGGATTAAATGCATACTGTAAACGTATGTACTGTATGCGTGCTCAGTGTTTTATTTTAATAAATGACTATCCACATATTCAAAGTAAAGTTCACTACAAATGTCTACAGTACTATGGCTATTGCTATAGGTTTTTGTAGTAGCCTACATCAGTGTTTACCCTAAATCCCACTTTATCTGCTGATATTTGCTGCGGGGCTGCTGATGCTTTTGATTCGAATATAACTAGTGACTTAAAGTTAAAGTTGGATGGTAAAGTCTTCTTGATAAAAAATGCAATAATAATTTTCTTAAACATATTTGTCTGCCTTTTAGGATACCCCCAGCTAGAAGTTTTGGGAATTCCCGCTTCCAGAACATTAACTGGGAGGAGGCGTTTATGATCTCCAGGAGATACTGTGTCATCAATAAGATTCGCGAGGTTTCATTTAAAATTATTCATTGTATTTATCCAGTAAATGAGGTTATTAAAAGATTTAAGAAGGATATTGATTTGAAATGTGTGTTTTGTCATTTGAATGATGAAAGTATATGCCATCTTTTTTTTGAGTGTACTAAATTATTCTGGTGTGATTTTAAGATCTTTTTTGAAGAGATTTCCGGAATTGACATTACTTTAGAAAATAAGAATGTTTTATTTTATTATGATAAGCTTTTAGAGAAGAAATTTTTTGTTCTTAATTTGTTTATTATATTAGGGAAATATCACATTCATAAATGTAGACGGTCAAAGAGTACACCTAGTTTTTTACTATTTAAATGTGAGCTCCGTCAGTATCTTAAAGTGATGGAAGGTGTATGGAACTTTAAAGCAAAAAAGACTATAGATTGTTGTAAAGCCTTGAAACTTCTTCCTTTTTAAGGACCTTTGCACTTTTGTAGTGCAGAGATGGATTTGTTCTCAATACCCCTCTGTATAAAGTTCTTATTTTGATTTATTTAGGTTTTGTTTCTTCTTTCCTTAATTTGCATTATTTTTTTTTTACAATCATTGTCTTTTTGAATTTATTGCCATTTTTGATTTTGTTAATTTGTATGTGAATTGTTACTAAAAGCATTAAAATATATATATATATTTTTTTTAAAGTGCAAGTCAGAGTGCAAGTGCAAGGCTGCAGCCAGACCCTGTTGAAAGTAGCTGAGCTGAATAAAAAGCAGAAGAAGAAAAAACGTGAAGACAAACACACGATTGCGAACATATACGGTTTATGTGTGTTTTTCAAACTATCTCCAGGTAATAAATAAACTATATGAATAATGCAGTACTGATTGACATATCATTTAGTAGCCTATAGAAACTATCAAATATATTTCCTGCCTTATTCTGTGATAAAGATGGGGAAAAGGTGCTCATAGTCTTTATAAACAGATCATAAAATTGTCATTAGGAAAATACTGAACAAAAATATTATAGCCCGTTGCTGCAGCTAACCTTCTACAGGCTACACACAGCGACATAAACAGCTGTGCATGCTCTCTTTGGTACTATATAGAAGGTAATGTTGTTATATCAGGTAACATTTATGGTTATAACAACAAAACTGAGAATCAAACTTTGTTGCAGAGTTTTGAAGAGGAGGTTTCAGGAATGTTAAGTTTCAGAACTCCGTTCTTAACAGAGTAGCGCCACCTTGCGGTTTTTAAGGGGTAATTTGCTTATTACACATACTTTATGTACATGTGCATTTTATAAAGATGAATCTTGTGTAATTTAGTTGTAGGCCTATACAATTATTAATTTCATTGTATTATGCGAATTATTTCCCGTTTGTGATATTAAAAATAATGTTTGAAACTTCTGAGCATTTTATATGAAATATACTTTAATCACAAGATTCAAAATAAAGGTTTACTCCAAAGTCAAGACATGCATCATACATTTTCTATATGAAAACATTTCAATAAAACACAGGTTTCCAATTTGGTTTTTATACTGTACAGAGCGTATATTCTATTGTCCTACACCAACCCTACCCCTAAACCTACCCCTCACAGGAGACTTTGTGCTATTTCAGATTTTCAATACACTCCATTCTGTGTGATTTATAAGCTTGTTTCCTCATGGGGACCAAAAAAAAAAAGTTTTTGCAAACATTTGGTCCCCATAACATGATAAATACCAGGCACACAATTTTTAAAAGTAACAATTAAAATGTACACAATTAAATTGAAGTTTATAAAATGAACAATTCACTCTTAGGCCCATTTTGTCATGACAGTCCTACAAAAATCACATGCATCATACATTTTCTATATGAAAACATTTCAATAAAACACAGGTTTCCAATTTGGTTTTTCTACTGTACAGACCGTATATTCTATTGCCCTACACCAACCCTACCCCTAAACCTACCCCTCACAGGAGACTTTGTGCTATTTCAGATTTTCAATACACTCCATTCTGTGTGATTTATAAGCTTGTTTCCTCATGGGGACCAAAAAAAAAAAGTTTTTGCAAACATTTGGTCCCCATAACATGATAAATACCAGGCACACAATTTTTAAAAGTAACAATTAAAATGTACACAATTAAATTGAAGTTTATAAAATGAACAATTCACTCTTAGGCCCATTTTGTCATGACAGTCCTACAAAAATAACTCCCCTGAACACAAGATGAAATATGAAGGGCACTCTAGAAGCTTCTGATTGTTGAGGGCCTTTTCCTCGTCCTCCATTATAAGGAAAAGAGGCTCTTCCACTGGCCCCCTGAGCAGATGTCTGCTGTAATGGAGCGATTTCACAACTTCTGTCAGATTACTGGGATCTCCTTCATTACAGAATACTCAAGGAAAATGTAACTTTAATCTCTCACACACACACACACAGAATGGCCTCTTGTAGGGTTTCTGCACTCTAATATATATGCATCTTAGTTCATTTCATATTGGTCAGAAGGGGGTGCAAATGTAATGGTGTGCTGGAGGAAATGTGCAGTACCTTTCAGAGAAAACTCCAAAGTTCTCCAGAAGAATAAGAGTCCAGCACCATCGCCATAGGATTGGAATGTCACACTGGAAGACACAAACATGGAGAAATCTTTCAATATCAACTGTTACAACATCATAAAGGTCAATTACTTTAACTGATAACTACTTACAGATGTAAAATCAAAGGGTGCTCCCAAGACAAGATGTACTGGAAAACAACAACAAAAATAAGAATATTCTCCCTGTAAATGAATAACCTTCCTTGTTCCTTATTTAACAACTAAAGCACACCAATAATTGGTTGCAAAAATGTATAGTATAGCCTAAAATAAATAAAGTACACAGGTAAACTAGTATGCAATAATAAATTGTGAGTATATATTAAACTCCTCAAGATGTTCATACCTCCACAGACACTGCCTTGTTGAAGTGGATTTGTAGATGACTTTAAATTGACCAGTTTGGCTGGTTTAAACATGCTGGTCAAGCAGGAATTATTATTAGTAATTGCTGTAACACTTGCTGCAGCTCCGGTAATGTGTCAACTCTGAATCCTTATAGGTTTCTACAAGAGATGAAGCCACACACAGTTCTCAGGTGATGACAAACGGGATTAAAATAATTAAACTACAAGATAACAGGAACACACAAACAGTGCATATAACAGAGGGAATTAAAGCAAACTATTTATTTTTAGAAATAATAAACGTCTTCAAAACTACACCGCAAGGCCCATTTACAACATGCATCCGAAAATTAATCGAAATATCCACAGGAAAAAAAAAAGTTTTATAGACCTACTATAAAGTATGATGACAAATTCAAGCCTCAATATAAGATAATAAAGCCAAGCACACATTAAGTACTTAGTAGATAAATGTTTAACGTAATATATACGATAATTATTAAACATGATAGCAAAAACATTACAGACTACTCACCGTGCTCCATCATACATTTTCTATATGAAAACATTTCAATAAAACACAGGTTTCCAATTTGGTTTTTATACTGTACAGAGCGTATATTCTATTGTCCTACACCAACCCTACCCCTAAACCTACCCCTCACAGGAGACTTTCTGCTATTTCAGATTTTCAATACACTCCATTCTGTGTGATTTATAAGCTTGTTTCCTCATGGGGACCAAAAAAAAAAAGTTTTTGCAAACATTTGGTCCCCATAACATGATAAATACCAGGCACACAATTTTTAAAAGTAACAATTAAAATGTACACAATTAAATTGAAGTTTATAAAATGAACAATTCACTCTTAGGCCCATTTTGTCATGACAGTCCTACAAAAATAACTCCCCTGAACACAAGATGAAATATGAAGGGCACTCTAGAAGCTTCTGATTGTTGAGGGCCTTTTCCTCGTCCTCCATTATAAGGAAAAGAGGCTCTTCCACTGGCCCCCTGAGCAGATGTCTGCTGTAATGGAGCGATTTCACAACTTCTGTCAGATTACTGGGATCTCCTTCATTACAGAATACTCAAGGAAAATGTAACTTTAATCTCTCACACACACACACACAGAATGGCCTCTTGTAGGGTTTCTGCACTCTAATATATATGCATCTTAGTTCATTTCATATTGGTCAGAAGGGGGTGCAAATGTAATGGTGTGCTGGAGGAAATGTGCAGTACCTTTCAGAGAAAACTCCAAAGTTCTCCAGAAGAATGAGAGTCCAGCACCATCGCAATAGGATTGGAATGTCACACTGGAAGACACAAACATGGAGAAATCTTTTAATATCAACTGTTACAACATCATAAAGGTCAATTACTTTAACTGATAACTACTTACAGATGTAAAATCAAAGGGTGCTCCCAA